AACAGTTTCATAATTTACAAAGAAAATGTCACAGAGAAATTTTCTTAGAGGATTAGGGCTGAATGTCAGGGCCAGTGGGCTGAAGGGAGGCCTGGTCAGGCGAGGTTCCCAAAGAAAAGAATACACGTGGAGCAGACATTACAAAGCAGGGACCAAACTTTAATTTCTAGTACAGAATTTATAGTAGTTCTTTATCAGCTTAGCTAATAATAAGACACAATAAGACAAAATATTTTGGGCGACATCGCATAGCTGTGTGGTACGTACATGGTCGTCCATGCTGATTCATTATTATTATAACAAAGTCTGTTGTGCACCTGAGCTAAACAAGAGTTGTGCCCTCGGGGCCCCTCAAGTGCCCTCAGATCTGCCAGCGGCCCCCTACACCAGAATTGATAAATGATCATTACATCAGAAGAAGAACAATATGTATCTGTCCAAAGAACTCTACAAAAGAATTCTGGAGCAGACTGATGAACAGACAAGTGAAACATCCCAAGACCCTCCTAAGAAAACAGGAAGAGTAGCAAGATGTCAAGTGTGTCCTACCAAAGAAGACAGGAAAACAAAACACTTGTGCTATCAGTGTAAACAGTAGTTGTGTATGTAACATGCATCCTGTTCTCATGTGTGAAAACTGCCTTAAGTGTGATAATTGAAGTAAAGATTATTTTTGTGGTAGAGCTTTATTTGTATTTTCATTGTAGTTCACATAGGAATTTATTTGTTATTTTTTAGATTTAGTAAGCAGACAGGTGATGCAGAAAATGTTCATGTTTATTTAAAATTCATTAAATATTAATGTTTTAATATTTTATTTTATTAATTTTATTTTCCTATTATGTACATATTAATATAGTAAAACTCATAAAATTAATAATCAACAGAAATACTCCTAAGGAAAAAAGTGGGCATTATACACCACTCATAATGCACCTTTCAAAAAACTTACCAAGTGTTGGGTACCACCACCAGGAAAACAAGGCCTACCCCCTGAAAATTAACCTAGCCAACAATTATCGTCATAACCCATATGTCAGAAGTGTTATCTACAGTAAAGCTAATGGGATTCTACTAATACACAGTTCAGCTGTGTGACTTCAAGAATTATATTATTATTATTTTCTTTTTCAGTACTGGGGTTTGAATTCTCGTGCGTGCTAGGGAAGTGCTCTATTCCCACTTTTAGTTTGAAACAAGGTCTTACTAAATTGCCTGAGTTGGTCTTGAACTTGCCATTCTGCCTCAGCCTTCTGAGTGGCTGGAATTACAAATGTGCACCACTACAAACATATTAGAATTAGTGATTTTAATTCTTTATTATTTATTTGGGTTTGAGACAAGTTCTCATTATGTAGCTCTGGCAGGCCTCCAATTTGAGATTTTCCTGCTTCTGCCTACTGAATCCTGAGATTATAGGCATGTGCCACCTTGCCTAGCTAAATTAGTGATATTTATTTATTTATGTATTTATTTTTGGTACTGGGGATTGAACTCTGGATCTTGTGTTTGGGAGGCAGATGGTGGAACCATTGAGCTAAATCCCCGGCCCTATTACTATTTTTTTATGAGACAAAGTCTCACTATGTAGTTCAGGCTGGGCTTGAGCTCACTATTATAGCCCAGGCCAGCCTGGCATGCTGGGATTACACCCATGTGGCACTACACCACATTAGTGATATTTCAAGTCAACTAAAAGCAAGTAAGCGCAGGTAAAATAACAACTCTGCTTTATTTTTTATTTTTTGGTACTGGGGATCAAACTCGGGAACTTGTGCTTGCGAGGCAGGCACTGGAACCACTGAGCTAAATCCCCAGCCCTAACAACTCTGCTTTAAAGGAAATAAAAGTTTATTCTTCAGCAAATATGAGTGAACATGACCCAGAAATATGTATTCAAGTTACCCCAAATGACATGTTCCACTGTGGAAGAAGTTATATGAGCTTTTACAGTCACAGAATAAAAGAAAATCGTATCAATACATTTTCCAATTACATTGGTGGGAGCATCAGACAGATGGGCTGCAGGAAGGCAGGGGAAATCTCTTTTCTAGTATTCAGATGTTATTTTATAGCATTTTTAGCTTTAGGCTTGTGGAGGCTAGAGGTGTGTCAAGTTTAGCTGTACATGCCAACAGTTTTATCTAGATGCCACAAGGATGTTAGATCAGATGGAAAGTTTGATAGTAAGTGATTTTTTAAAATTATTATTATTTTTTGTACCAGGGATGGAATTTGGGTCCTTGCATTTGCGGAGCAGGCGGCAGAACCACTGAGCTAAATCCCCGGCAATAGTTAAGTGATTATTAAAGTCACCAGCTAGAGTGGGTAGTTGCCTGTATAAGATGGAAATAATATACGGACTAGTTTCATGGAAACAAAATGAAAGTTTATGCTAGGAAAGAAATACAGTCCTACAGCACCGAGGGTGTGTTGGGGGGTGCGGGGGGGGGTGTTGTCTGTTGTCTATTCCTTGGAGGAGCAGGGGGATTTAGCTCAGTGGTTCCACTGCCTGCCTTGCAAACGCAAGGACCCAAGTTAGATCCCGGTACCCACCCCCCAAAAGCAAGCAGTTCATTTTTATGTGGTCTGGAAGGAATGTCATTCTTTATTTATGTTTTCAGTAAGGGGTGGGGTCTCTCAACTGGGTGGAGCTTCATTACTTCACAGGTGTGAGTTTGAAAGTTTAGGGTCAGGGTCAGCCCTCCATAGAGCTGTCGCTGTGTTTGCTCCCATGGGTCTCATACAGTTTGCCTGTGCATCCCACTTCCATATACTAAAGAATACAATGGCTTGCTCACTTAATTAACAGGCTGATTTACTTTCCCCCCTTATTGCCTAAAGTTGCTGCTGCCTATTTGTTTTCTCTCAGGCTGCTACTTCAAAGTCCTGCCAATACCCCATCTCATTAAAAAGCTGAGGATAGCCCAAGTAAACTGGCTCTTTTTTTTTTTTTTTAACTGGTGTTCTGGTCAGCCAAGGTCAAACAGTGTGCAGGCTCTTGAATATAGATGTGGGTTCTTCAGAGAACTTTAGCTCACCTAAGGGAGAACATGGGGGCTAAGAATCAGAGGAGTAAAAGGAACAAAAGTGTATGTGAGAGCAGGCCAGCTGTGCCTATTGGCTGGTAATTATGGAATCTTGGAGACAGATGTCTTATTCTTTTGGTTACACTCCTGAGAATGGTTCCCAAATCCTTGAAAGATATTTCTGAGTTGTAAAATATACATATTTATAAATGTAGACCCTTCTTTATAGATATATTATTTTTCGGGGGGGATACCGGAGATCTAACTCGGAACCTTTTGCTAGCAAGGCAGGCAACGGAACCACTGAGCTAAATCCCCGGCCTGTTCCAGCCCCTTTTTTATATATATTTTTGTTCCATCTATACCATACATAATTATTTTTGTAAAGCTTTTTTTTTTTAGACCCTTCTTTTGGTAAATGCTCAGTAAATGATTGTGGCCCATCAAGCAAGGGCTGAGTGTTACTGATTAGACCTGATAAAAGATCTGAAAGAAATAGTTTTAAAATGTCTTTCCAGGGCCGGGGATTTAGCTCAGTGGTTCCGCTGCCTGTCCTCCAAGTGCAACATGATCCCTGGTACCAAAAAACCCCTTTTTATCATCTTCATCTGTCTAATCTGATCTCATCTGATCTTGCCCCCATAGGGGCAAGAATGGGATTCTACTGGACACTGGGATGCAGGAGGTCAAGTGCAAGTCGCACACATAGTGTTAAGAGAAAAAATTCCTTACTTATCCTTCCCTTTTTTTTTTTTTTTGCAGGCTATGTAGCCCAGGCTGACCTTGAACTCTCAATGACCCTCTTGCCTCAGCTTCTCCAGTGCTGGGATTACAGGCATATGCCACCATGCCTGGAAATAGGAAAAATTCCTTTGGCCAATTAAATCTGGTAGTTTACCTGAGCAAAGAAAAACAGAACAAAAAATTGTAAATTAGGCAGCTCCCAGAACGAGAGCAGGTCCTAAGAACCCCAGCTAACCATGTGATCAGACAGCATTTATGAAAAAATGGGTCAGGCATAGAAAACAATTTAATTGCCTACAGCTTAGTCAATCACTCAGTCAAATAGCTACAGGGCCTCTTGCAAAAAGCCAAATCTCGGGCCAGGGATTTAGCTCAGTGGTTCTGCCGCCTGCCACGCAGCTCAAGGTCTCGAGTTCGATCGCCGGTACCAAAAAAACCCCAAAAAACAAAAAAACAACGGCTTCCAAGGAGAATGAGCAAAAGTATGTCAGGGTCTTTGGGGCGGCCTCATTCAATCAATGCCAAGATGGAGCCCAAGGATGTCCACGGCATTTGCAAGGTGGTAACTAGAACTTGAACCTAAGTCTCCAGAACCTAGTCCAAAGGTCTTTCTCTGGCCTGGATGTAAAGCTTCACCGAAGTCTGGAGGTGTCATTAACCATCAGAGACCAAGGAAGCCAGGGCCAAGTACTCCCAGCAAGTGATGCTGAAGTTGCAATTTCAACTTGGCCAAAACGTGTTTGGAGGTGTCAGAAACGCTCATCAGCATTCGGTGACTTTCGGAACCTCCCAAGAGATAGCCAGGAGCTTGTGGAAACGTCGAAACATGAATCACGCACAACGCCACTAATTTTTTGCTCAGGCCACAACTTCCTGAGGAAACTTCAGGAATAACTGAGATGACCGGAAAATGCTTAGGGAGCTGCCAAAAGCAGCCGAACGCCATACGGGACTTTCTGCAGCTTCCACAGGCACATTCAGACCCTCTCAGTTTTCTGAGATTTACTCAGTAATCTTGAATTTTTAGTAGCTCTGATGGTCACCTAAATCAGGAGGGCAACTTGTACCTCGGCAGTTTCCGAAATTGCTCAATACACCCGAGAGTGGCGCGCTCTGGTGGCAGGCGGAGGAATGGCGCGTGGGTCAGCGCGCGCAGACGTTGTTACTGGCCCACGGGCCGTTCAGACCGGATGTGGTTGCGCCTGAGGTCACTTCCGGCGGGTGACGGTGCGAACGGGTCAGAAGCGTAGAGGCGGCGGCAAAATGGCGGCGCCTGAGGAGCGGGATCTAACCCAGGAGCAGACAGAGAAGCTGCTGCAGTTTCAGGTAGCGGCGAGTATTCGGTGCAGCATATGCCGCCGCGGGATGGGGAGTGGAACTCTGGAAGAGCGTATAACTCTCCTCAGATTGAGTCTGGGCTCTTTTTCAGACCAGCAGGCGCCCCCCCTCCCCCCAGACGCCAACTGCCCCTATTCCCCTCACCCCTGAGCCTCTGTTGATCCCCAGCGTTCCAGCCATAGCTGTCCGCCCGGCTCTCCTCTTCCGTTTCCCTCTACCCTCAGCGGGTCATTTTCCGTAGTTTTCTTTAACCCCTCCAGTCCTCAGCCATCCTTCCCAGCCCAATGACTCTAGACCTGCCTGAGATGCTTAATCCCCACTCCAGAGTTGGAGTCAGTTGTGGTCTCTGGAACACCTCCCACCACCATCCCATATTATTTCCACAAACGTTAATGAGGGCCTCTTGGGTAGCAAGTCTTGTGTTGGGGGCTGTGATGGGGAAGGAAGCACCTACTCAACTGGCCCGGCTTCTGCCCCAGAGGTGTGGAAGGACACTACGTACTGAAACAATGCAACAGAAGCGCCATCGGTGGCTTCTGACGGGGTTTCATATCTTCTGCTTATTCCTGTGCTCTTGTGCTCGAGTATGCTTGAGGGTGGCAACTTGCAGGAATCTGCCTCCTTTTGTTGATGTTAAGTTCAGAACACTTGGCACTAAACACAACCTCTGAGCTGGAGAATCTGGTTGGAGGAGTTACTAGGCGGATGACTGTGGCTTTGTTACCAGTTTCTTTATCTCTTAAATGTATATTTTAAAAGTGTCTAATTCCCTCAGTATGTTGTGGAGGTCAAATGAGTTTACTGTTGTTAGAAGTGCATTGTAAACAGTAAAATGCTCCCAAACAGAATTACTGCTAATCATTATTTTACTTCGAACTGAAGTTGGTACACTTATTTCCTAATGTACAATGTGCTCAATATTTAGTTAGTATTTATAAAAAACTGCAAGGCTGAGGCACTGCCGGTAGAATAACATTTACCGAGTATTTACCATGTTGTAAGTACATTGCTAAACATTTAGCATATGTTACCTCATGAAATATTCACAACTCCCTTGTGAGGTTCATACTGGTATAGTCCATATTTTACAGACTAAGGATATAAAGCTTAACATGTAACAATGCTTAGGTTACACAGCTTGGTATGTAGTGGTGTCAGATTTAAAGCCAGGTTCATCTTTCCAAAACCTTTCCCAGGTTAATTTCTCTACTGTACATCCCATGTAAGTATCAGGGTACAGCTGAGATAGAGTGCAGATGGTAGGATACTAAACTTGTTGTGTTCTCACGTTTCTGTAATTTCTTTGAATAGATTTTATTATAGGTTTTTTTTTTTGGTAGTGGGGATCTCACTCGTGTCCTTGAGCTTGAGAGGCAGGTGGCAGAACCGCTTAGCTAAATCCCCGGCCCTATTATAGTTTTTGAGGTATTTTTTCCATCTTAAATTGAACAGTGTGTTGAAAGTATGAACGGCAAAATGCTATCATAGACATAGTTGACATTTGATGGGAGTTCTGTAGAGAAATTAATGACAGAATAGAATTGAAGAATGAGTAAACAGCAGACAACTATCTTCCACTTCCTTGTGGAACATCAGTTTCAGAATTTTATTCAACTTGTGCAGACCATTTTACACTTCACAACTCTTCAGGGGTAAGCCCCATGTTATTTAACTGTAATAAGGAGATGTGAGATGTGAGTTATAAATCATAATGTAATCTTGTACTGGAAAAACATGAATATGTGGATTTCTGAGGTAAAGTACATAGAAATTTCCATTTTTGTATTCAGTGAATATATCAGGAGGTGGGCAGCAGGTTAATTTGTGCTGATTACTTTATGAAATTGAATTTATTGAGGAAATGCATTTTACATGTGTGTACTTAAGGCAAACACATACATATTGCCATTAAACATTCTTTGAAATTTACTAGATGTTGAGCATTATAGGATGTAGTTGACATAACTCTTAAACCTCTTGGGGAAGACTATAGTTAAACTCCATTCATTTTATTTATGAAGGAATAGGTTCTGAGAAGTCAAATAACTTGAACAAGTAGTAAGTACCAGAGATTTAGGCTTTTTCTTTTTTTGCTGTGCTGGAATGACAAATTTAGCATATCCATAACTATCTTGTCTGTAACCTAATGGAGAAGCCAGGTAGGTATATGTGCTGCTAAAGCAAGCATTGGAGAAGCCAGGTACATAAATGAATGAGAGTACTCAACAAGTGTTCATAGTGTGATATGATACATAAAAAATGATAGCCAGGTGAGGTGGAACACACCTAGTTCTAGCACTCTGGGAGGCCGAGGCAAGAGGATTGCAGATTTGAGCCCAGCTTGAGCAACTTAGCCAGGGCCCTATCTCAAAATTTAAAACAGGTGGGGATGCAGCTGAGTATGAAGGCCCTGGGTTCAGTCCCCAGTACTGCAAAAACAAGAACAACAACAAAAATGCTATGATGATGGGCATGGTGGCACATGCTTGCAATCCCAGCACTTGGGAGGCTGAGGCAGGAGAATCACCATGAGTTCGAGGCCAGCCTGAACTACATAGTGAGACCCTGTTTCAAAAAAAATAAATAAAAACAAAAAAAGTGCCACGAGTCAGGTGTGGTGGTACATGCCTGTAATTGCTACTCCATAGACTGAGGCAGAAGGATTGCAACTTTGAGACCAGCCTGTGCTAGCCTCTATCTCAAAATAAAAACAGCTGGGGATGTAGCTTAGCGGTAGAACACTTGCCTAAGTGCTGTGGGTTCTTAGGAAAGGGTAAAATTGATTGGGAGGAGGGGAGGGTGATTTATAGGTACCATTTATTATTTACTATGCCTGGAACATTGTTAGATAAATTATAACCCTTGTGCTTAATCTGCTCAGTAATACACAATAAGTGGTATGCCTGCTCGCTTTAAGATCTATTGACATATTTACTCAACGTCTTTAAAGCTTTTAAATAGTGGAATTCCAGTGAGTTTGATCTGGATTTAAAGACTGGGCTTCTTACCACTGTACCTTGCTGCTTTGGAGGAATAGAATTTCAACAGGTATGAGCAGGAGGATGTTCAAAGCTGGGAGACAGGTTGCACACATGGATGTGGAAAAGTGTGGAATTTGTCTGTTTTGGTGGATTTAAAGAATTGAAAGTGGAAAGGTAAACTAGAGCCAACTTGCTTTTAAAGCTTTGTGCTATGATTTAAACTTTCATCTGTACACCTGGGGAACCATTAAAGGTTTTTTCAACTAGGAAGTGACAACACTAGGTTTCGGGTTTGCTTCATTAGCGGTATGGATCTGTGAGCCAAGTTAAACCTCTCCTCTTTAGCAACCCCCCCCCCCCGCCAAAAAAAAAGCCAAAACAATATGAATCATAGGCTTACACTCTTTAGGGTTCAGGATAGAACAGGATGACACCACAAGAAGCAGGTTCTCAGTGTATTTTCTCATTTGAACTATTGAGACTAGTGAAAGTAAATCTGAGATTTTGGAAATCTCAGGTTTCCTCTGTTTGTTTTTTTGTAACACATGATTTGATTGGAACTCCCTAAGCCATACTTATTGTGTTTCTCAGTCAGTTTGATGTTTCTAAGATTTGTCTGTAGTTCTCCATTTCTCCTGTTTATTTTGGAACCAGTTAGTATGAATAACTAATGCGAACTTTTTTTAAAAAGCTATTTCAAATGAGAATAGGGACATCACTTGTAAGATAAAGCTAATGCATGTATGTGGAAAGTTACTTTTTTGAAATAAATTTCTTCAAATTTCCAGATGCAGCAGACTCCCCTAGTGCTTTGGTTTACTTCCCTTAGGTTGCTGTTTGAACAACTGGGCAAGGATGGCATGGACAGAGAGAAAACTAAAGGAGCTTTGTGTTGTCTCTGAAGAAAGAAGTGATCTCTTTTCTGCTTGTATAGGAGTAAGAAATTTTTCCTTTTAAATGGACAGTATAGGATATGACCCTCATTCTCTTAAATTATAGGAAGTAAAACCTGAATCAGTCTGAGATGTTAAATCAAGTTTGTAAATCATTTTGAAAAACATTTTTACTTCATCTGTCTTTTAGTTTGGGGGAGTATGATATTTTGTTAATTTTAAAAAATCATAGTGATTTGGTTTTTTCCAGCAAATTTAACACTATAAGAGAAAACATAAGCTTTAGAACTTTAGGTAAACATGAATTGGCTTTGTAACTTAGTTTCTTGTTCGTTTTACAGTGTTGGACAGATTCTTCTGTAAATCTCTTTCCTCTTCTGTAAAATGGGGATACTGTTCTCTAGTTGACTGAACTCCTTTTCCTTACTTTTAGAAAAACCTGTCAGTGGTGGATGTAGTGGTGCACACTTGTAATCCTAGCACTCAGGAGGTTGAGCCAGGAGGATCATGAGTTTGAGGCTACAGAACCCATGGTTTTTTGTCTCAAACAACAAAACAAACTACCACGTCATTTATCCAAGTATGCTTGTTGGAAGTTGACAACATACAACTGTATAAAATAAGTAATTAAGTCATGTTTTATCTCTCTCATCCTAATTCTAGATTTGTTGTATATCTTTGTATATATTTTTTTCATTTACATACTCAGATCTACCTTGGGATTCTAAACCTGGGCTTTACACATGCTAGATAAGTGCTTTACCAACTTGAGTTAACATTCTCAGTCTAGATACACAGATTCATAGTGTAACTAAACTCTGTAACTCTAACCTTCATTTGACTGATTAGTTAAGCCAGATTCTTCCATTTCCTAAAGTCTACCCTGTTATGCTTAAGTGTTTCTGCTCTCACCAGATGAATTGTACCCCCACCCTCATCTTGTGCATGCCTGTATGGGAGATATTCAGGATTAAATTTAATGCCCTTTACACTGAGCTACATCCCCAGAGCCCTCCCCGCTTTTTTTTGAAACAGGGTATTGCTAAATCACCAAATTGGCCACACTGGATTCTAATTTATAATCTTTCTGCCTCAGCCTCCCAGACTGCTGGGATTACAGGCATGCACTACACAGTCAGTTTGAACCATACTCTAGACAAGAATTAGTTAATGTGTGCTCTTAAACCAGTACATGCTGGGTCTTCATATAAATTAAATTGAATGTTACATAAACCAATAAAATACCAGTACAAAGAGTTATTTGTATAAAAACTAAGTTAAATGTTTTAGGATGACTAAACAGGAGCAAGTTGCTGGAGGAAAAAATTGCCTTCATTTGGCAAGATAACTGTAACTAACTTTGGGGGAAATCATTGAGTGAGAAGATTGTTTACTTCTTGGTCTACTTAAATCCAGTCAGTGTGGTTTTGCTAGACAGATTCAGGATATGCCAGTGGACTCATTCTGTAATGAAAAGGGTAGCCTTTTATCAAAAAATTACTTTGTGTTAAATAAGTGAACTATAGAATATTTTTATTTCTTTAAATAATTTATTTCTTTATTTTTATTTCTTTAAATGATTTTTCAACTAATCGAGTGGTTGTAAATCAGATTCTCATTGTGTACAAGAACTTAGGTTGTCTTTCATTATATTTTACTCATGAAAGTCAGCTGAGCATAGTAAGTGATTATAAAGACTGAGTCTGGAGTAAGTCTTCCTGAATTTGAATCCTGGACCTTCAGTTACTTTTTGATTGTGGGCAAATTACATAGACTCTCTGGGCTTTAGTTTCTTCATCTGTGGACTAATGATTAAATGTTAATGTGTCTGGGGCCGGGGATTTAGCTCAGTAGTTCCGCAGCCTGCCTTGCAAGCGCAAGGACCCGAGTTCGATCCCCAGTACCAAAAAAATGTTAATGTGACTGAAGCACTGATGAGTATGAAGCATTTGAATGGTAAGCATTATTAGTTGTAGTTTCTTAAAACATTGATGGACAGTGAAGTTTTTGGTTTTTTTGTTTTGTTTTTTGGTACTGGGGCCTTGAACTTATCTAGCCCAGGTCAGCCTCCAACTTGTGGCCTCAAACTTGATCCTCCTGCCTCAGTCTACTAAGTGCTGGATTACAGGCGTGCATCACCACACCTGGCAGGATTGATTTTTTTTTTTTTTTTGGTACTGGGGATTGAACTCAGGACCTTGTGCTTGCGAGGCAGGCTGCGGAACCACTGAACTAAATCCCCGGCCCGAGGATTGATCTTTTTAATAGCGGAATGCCTGTGAAAGAATCCCCTGGCAATTTTGTGTCCCATACTTGGTCTCTCTAATATAAGGTATCATGTGTGTGACCACTCCAATCCCATTTCTCTAATCTGTCATAAGAGGGCATATTGGGTGTGTCTCTTTTATGGCATTATAGCAGAAACTGCTCCAAGAAGGACCTAGGATGATGATCTGGCCTGAAGAGGCCATCTTCTTTGTACTTAGTACCTTAATTGTTGGAATAACTGCTACCACATTACAGACCCCCTTGCAGTTATATGCCAGCACCAAATATGAATCTGTCACATAAAATCCAGTTCTCTCAAGGAAAGGGGTCCGAGTGTCTTCAAGGTGTAGAATGTTCCATTTGTTGATTTTTCACAGGGCCCTCTTTATTAGAACAATCACAGGGAGAGTGCCCGTTTGACAGCCCCAGTTGTTCACTGTGTAAGTATTCCTGTGGGACAGACAATTAGTGTTTGCAAGCAAAGTGGTTAGGGTTATGAGAGCAAATGGAGCTCTGGAAGAGTTTTGAGAGGATATTTCCTGGTCGAGAGGCCTAGAGGCAGTGGTTGCACATACCCTCAGTTTTGACAGTCCTGAAATGTTGACATGTAAAGAGGGAAAAATTAAAGGATCTCTAAACTATATGGCAGGGCCAGGTGTGGTGGCACATGCCTGTAATCCTAGCATTCAGGAGGCTGAGGCAGGAGGATTGTTGTGATTTCGAGGCCAGCTTGGGCTATGTAGTTCAAGACCAGCCTGAAAGCACAGCAAGACCCTATCTCAAAAAAAAAAAAGTGTATGGCAGGAATCCCTACAATTGGACAGTCCCTGGCAATTGGAGAGGTTGAAGTCCCTGTACTCTCCACTGAAGTTTTAAGTAGTATCAGGGTCACAATAAAAGAGGGGCCAATACTGAACCCCCCCAGATGACTTCCTTTAAAGGTTCTGTTTTCCTTTTCATATAGCCAGGTGCCAATTTTATAATGTAAGGTAATGTTACAGAATTGAGATAACCATCTTACCCAAAGAAAATTCTTTGTGATTAAATGTAGAGGGAAGCGTGTCTCCACAACTCAACCACCTGTCCCTAATGTTTGCTTTATCTCCCAAGGGAGCCCTGCATGGGATAAAAATTGATGTCAGGCTGGGGTTTAGTACAGTGGTGCTGCCACCTGCCTCACAAGCACAAGGTCCTGAGTTTGATCCCCAGTACCAAAAAAAAAATTGATGTTATAACCTATTGACAATAGTGATCTAGGGCCGAGGATTTAGCTCAGTGGTTCTGCCGCCTGCCTCGCAAGTGCAAAGTCCCAAGTTCAATCCCTGGTACAAAAAAAAAAAAAGACAATAGTGATCTAGTCAAGGGACAGAGGCAAAGCTCCTTGTGGTATTGTGTGGTGAGCTGTTCCTTGTGGGCACATCCAAAATTAGAATAATTTCTTTTTTTTTTTTTTTTTTTGGTGCTGGGGATTGAACTCGGGTCCTTGCGCTTGCGAGGCAGGCACCGAAACCACCGAGCTAAATCCCCGGCCCTAGAATAATTTCCTTGCTATGTTATAAAAGAAATAGCTGGTACAGGGGGATGTTGACTGACACCAGATTGAGGGGAATGGGTGAGGAGAAGGGATGGGAGCATGAGAGAGATGGTAATGTCTCTCATAATTGGAGATCCTTTAGCAGTTGAAATAATTTCACCCTTTTGGGAGTAGGCATACTGAGCTACATAAAAGGAGGGATAAAATGAAAATTCCTGAGAGCGTGACTGTGTAGAGCAGGGATGAATTTGGCACTTTATCATCACTTATCTCCTGAGGGTCTAGCATTGTTTTCTTGAAGAAAAGATTTAGGCCTTCAAAGTGTTTTCAAGAGTATTGATCTGTATCTCAGTTTCCAGTCGTGCATGTGAATTCCATGGCTTATATGGCAGGACTCAATTGCCTTGAAGCACCAATGGTGCATGCACAACTGTCCCATCCAGCAGCATTGGACAGTCATGTATGTATGGCCCTGTCTTAAATGTGTTAATCTCAGTGGGACCTCCAAGTGTGAAATAGGTAATTATGTACAAACTGAGCTTGGCTCAAAGTCTCATAAATGACACCATGGGTAAAAGGAAGGAGAGTGTTTATTGGAAATAAGGAAAAGAAAAATAGTTCCTAGGATCACTGGAATTTTCAAAATAAAAATTTTGAATTTTAGGGATTTAGCTCAGTCCACATGTCCTGGGTTCATTTCCCAGTCCTCCAACAAAAGAAAAAGAAAAGAAAAAGTCAGGCAAAGTGGCACATTTCTGTAATCCCAGCACTTATGGGAAGCTGAGCCAAGAGAATTGCAAGTGTGACCTCAGTCTTGGCAATTTAGTGAGTGAGACTCAAAGATAAAACGGTTGGGGATATAGTTGAATGAAAAGGCTCTGTGTTCAAAAAGAAAAGAAAAAGAGAACATTTGATTCAGAGGGAAGGTAAATTGTGATTGCAATATCTTTAAGTTAGTTGAGAAGGATTAGGGTCCAGCACACAAGAGGAATAACAGGCCCTTGGCAGCAACAAGAGTAAAATCACCCGAAGAAGAGAAAAGATGAATATAAGGGCACAAAAGTATGTAGATAGGTTAGTGTGCCTGTTGGATATTGTGATTATTTTATTTCCTCTGTGAAATAGGAAACAAGGTTACAAACCAAGATTAAGGATGGAGGAGGTGGTGTTGGAGATTTGGGAATAGAGGTGTGGTCATTTGGAGAGTGGGGAAGTAAATGGCTAGGCTAGGCAACCTCCAC